TGTTTATTATTGAAATGAACTCATGGATTCTTTTTTTTAATGTAAATTATAATTTGTACTCTTCTTAATTGTTTTGGTGCTCAGATTGTCCCAGATTTGGCCAGTGGGAGCACTTCCGGGTGGCTCTGGTGTCCTTTTGATGTGGTCCCATCATTTTTTGAAGCTTTTCTTGTCCTTTGGCTCCAGAGCTCCTCTTGTACCTTCCTGCCTCACTCTAACCCCTCCCCCTTTTGTAAGGTGCCCTGGTTCTGTTCAGAGGGGACTGGTATCAGAGACCAGGACTTGGCACCAGGTGGGCCCACAGTGCTGACATCTTTTCTTCTAGAACCTTTGGGCAGACAGACCTAGGGAATCTATACAAACATGTGCGTGTGTGTGTGTGTGTGGGTGTGCGCGCGTGTGTATGTGTTTCCATACACATATGAATGTGCACATACACACATCATACATTCTCACTGTACGCATACACATACATATACTTACACTAGTGCACATGCACTGTAGGTAGACATACACGTCCACGTACACATTGTTGCTCTAGAAATCCTGGGTTTAAATCAATACCCCTGGTTCCCGCCCTTTCCCACAGGGTTCACTTGCTGCCCTCTGCCCCTCTGTATCTGCACCCCCTTAACATCGTGAGGACCCCGGCTCCGACGGCATCCACACAGTCAGTAATTTGCTCAATTCTTGGTACAAAGACCAGACCTCCTAAGAAGGTTTGCCAGTCATTCTGCCCCCCACCCCTCCCTCTAAGACCGCAGGTACACGCGGATGAGTCTAATAAGGTGAATGGTACCTGTCCTCACCAGGGAAGAACACGTAGTCTGGGAGGGGAGGAAGGGCTATGTCGCCTTCGTATAATCAAGAGTTAATTATTAGCACAAAGAAAATGATGGAGTTGTACTCTGTGCTAATGTGCTGTCCTGCACTTACAGTTATGCACTTTTAAGTGGTTTGTGGGATTCAGAAAGCATGAGTTCGAGGGGAGAGCTGGGTTACCAGGAAACAACAAAGCAATTAAAATGCTTTGATTTTATTTTATGGTGTTCCTTCCCAGAATAATTAGATTAGTCACAGCTCTCAGACAAATGCTTTTCGAGGGCATGTGCTTGTGCGAGTGGGGCAGGCTGGCACCGGAGTCGCGGCCCCCTGGTCTCGACTGTCTTATACCCAGTGGCTCGCGATGGATCTCAGGGTCAAAGGAGACTCCAGTGGGTGCCAGGTTCTCAGAAAGAACTCCTCGCTTCTTTGTGTCATTTGTAGTGTCCCCCTTGTCACTGCCTGCCCTACACCAGCCCAGTGCTCATTGGTGGTCTCTCATTGACCCCAGAGCAGCTCCCCACCAATCTCACAGACCAGGAAACCAGCTCTGAGGGCTGGTGGCAGGGGCTGCTGTATAGCCCTGTGCTGCCTGTGCCTCTGGCAGCGCGAGCAAGGGTGCCCCCAGTGAGATGGCTGTGTGTGCAGCCCGGGGAAGTAGGTGACACAGGAGACAGAAAGATGCTCTCAGGTTTTCGAGGGCTGCCTGCATATGCAGGAAGGACAGGCACTCTGCGACCTCAAGGTGGACCAGGACCTGGGGGAGCCCCTCTGTTCTGCTAGGGATGGGGGCTGCCTGAAGAGGCATGAGTGGCTCTGCCCTCGGCTGGTGTTTTGGGTCCTTGGTCAGATATGGTTTCCACCCAGAGGCCCAGGAGGAGGTTTTCCTGGCACCCCTGCACTTCCTGATGCAGCTATGGGAAAGAATCGAGGCCGTGGCCTCGTTGGACCCTGATGCTCAGGGCACCTCATCTCTACACAGCTCCTGCGAGGTGGGGTCTGGCCTGATGGACCCCAGGGGCTGCCTGCGGAGAGTACAGTTGAGGAGGAACGTGGGCTTGGAGCTTGGAGACCCAGGCTCATTTCCTGTCAACGCAGTTCACTGTTTAAGATTTTGAGCATTAGTTTCTTTATCTGTGTGATGAGGATAATGTGCCCCTCACAGGGTTATGTCAGGACTCAACACTATAACACACCCCTCATAGGGTTACCGTCAGGACCTGAGACTAGGTCTTGTTCATTCTCCTCCACACCCCAGGAAGGGTTGACCGTTAAACATATTGGGTCTCCAGTCTCGGCACGTCTGTAAAGCAGCCATCCAGTGCTACTTCGCACTGGGACAGGAGCAGTGATGGCATTGGTGGATGCCTCGGTGTCATTGGGGGTCATTGGGGGCGCTTCAGTCCCACGCCACACACTGTGATTCGGAGCAGAGGCCCTTCTCCTTCTGTCGACGCTGAGGTCGGGGGACTGCACACCCCACATGCATCTTGTAAAAAAGTGTCTCCATTGAGGTTCACAGCCACAGCGGTGGGCTCTGCTCCTGACAGGGGTAGCTCCCAGGGCAGCAGCACTGGGGCAATTTCCTGTCCTGCACTTAGACCCGCTCCCCCAGGAACGCAAGCGTGGTGTTTGTGCCCTTTGTGGGTGTCGTGACTTAGGGAAGTGCTGGAGGCAGGGGAGGAGGGGGTACGTAGAGTCTCTTCCAAGAGAGCTGCTCCATCATCTTGATGCTTCTAAGTACACACAGGTAGAGGCGCCATGTCCTGAGGACGGCGCCACATGGGAACCTTGTCTGACCGTGTATTACACCCCTGTGACCACCCCCCTGACCACCTCCGTGGATACCCTCATGACCACTGTGACCACCCCCGTGGGCAACCCCCTGACTACCCCCTTGGATACCCCTGTGACCACCATGACCATGCCCACCATGACCACTTGACCACCCCTTGGCTGCCCCCGTGGACACCCTCGTGGGCACCCCTGTGGATACCCCATGACCACCCTGTGACCACCCCAGTGACTACCATGACCACGCTGTCACAGGCCTATCTGCTGTGGGAACTGTCCTGAGAAAATCTGTTATTGTCTTGTCCTTGGATTGAGTTGAGCTGTTTATTTAGAAAGCAGGTCTTATGCCAAGTTCAGGGTTGTGTAAATGCAAATATTTACTTGGGAGGACACTGCTTCTTGGAGATTAGCACCTGTGGTGACTGGGTCAGAGGGGTATGCGCCTCCAATGGTTGTCCGACCTGGCTTCCTCTCCCCAGAAGCACAGTTGCTTCCAGCATGAAGGGCTCAGGGTGGGGGGTGGGGAAGAGGCCTCTTTTCGGTGCACAGCATCATTGCTTTTAGCCTCAAGAACGGGTGAGCCTGTGTACTGGGCTGGGCAGCACCCGCAGCACCCTGCTTAGTGGGCTCATTCCTCAGCAGCCTCAGCCCCAGCCAACCTCAGAGCCCGGGCGGCCGGACGTGGCCTCCAGGCGTCAGATGGGCTTCCTGTCACCCCTGAGCTAGTCTGCACAGTCGTGCCATATCCATGACCATCTAATCTCTCCCTAAATGTTTTCTCTAAATTGGCTCACCTTTTTCTTTTGATTTATAAAGGAAACTTTGTCATTATCATAAATTAAAACAAAACCCAGCATCATAGCTCTATATGGAAAATAGCCATAGAAACTATCAAAACTAAAAATGGGGTTCATGTCTCATCACTTAGAAAGTTTCTTGTGTTCTCCCAGGGAGACCTTGCCCGAGGTCCCCACCTGGGTTGTTGCATCCTGGCTAATTGGTGGCAGGTGGCGGGCCCTTTCAGGGGACAGCCTGCACAGGTGCAGGGCAGCATGAGCAGTCCTTGGGACCCCTAGGGTCAGAACAGGCAGCCCTCACAGCTAATGCCCATGAGCATGGTGGACTGCAAGATACCACGTGGAACCTTCTAGAAAAGGGGAGTCATGTTGTGCAGAGTGGGGCCTGTCCTCTGCTTCTGTGGTAGAACTTGCTCTGGGACAGAGGGAGCATGGCAGGGGGGCCAGACGATATCTGTTGGGAGTCCGAAATGCCAGGCTCGAAGAGAGAGCCCTGGCTACGGGTGTGCCCTGGCACTGGGGAAGGGGAGGCTCTGCTGCTGTGCTCCACCTGGGCCCCACTCTGCTCAGGGCGACCACTCAGAGAGTGGAGAGGAGCCGGCAGCTGCCTGTGTCTCACTGACAGCCTCACCGTCTGTGGGTTTCACACCGTAAGGAGCAGTTTACACCGTTACCACCATCGCCCACTGCTGTTTTTGTGGGGGCACATTTTGTGACCAGACACCCCTACTGCTGTCTGAATGGGGGCACACTGTGTGACCAGAAACGCTGGAGCCGTCCATGCAGTGTTCACTTGCCCCCCCCCTGCCAGCTCTCACAACCTTATCCCATACTAACTTAGCTGCAGAGACTGTCGCACACACACACAGCGAGCAAGTTAGCATCTCAGAGCAGGAGGAGAGCATTTCACTAGAGAACCTTGTAACTGACGCAGCCAGTTTACACACGTCCTGACTCATAAGGTGGGGCAGGGTGACCAGGAACGTGGCTGATGACCATCTGAGAGACAAAGAACGATCAGTGTGTGCACGAGCGAGGGGCTGCTCTCTCTTTCTTTTTAATAGTAAACTTGTCAGCATGTACATTGTAAAGTACAAACCACAAACATGGAAAATAACTGTTACACATCTGAGCTTCTTCTGTCTCCAAACTTCACTTTTCCCCTAAGATGGCAGATTCCTGGTGAATTTCATTCACAGACCCCCTGCTTCCTCTGTCTTTGCTGGTCATCAGTATTCATATCACTTCGGGATGCTGTTCATGTGGACAGGAGCAGAGGGCCAGCAGACGTCCAGTGGCTTTTCCTCACCAGGTTCAGATGACCTCCATGCCAGCGTTTGTGGGTGAAAGCAGCCAGTGGGCAGGCAGTGCAGAGCCAAGAGAGCCTCCATGCAATTTCTCTAGTGACCAAGGGCCGCTGGCTGCACGGCGCTGGCCGAGGCACTGCGGAATCCCCGGGTGCTCGGACTGAGGTGGCAGCAGGAAACGTCCTGCCCCACCTGCCGACCTGCCCACCTACCCACCTGGCCCAGCTGCCCGCACATTCCCATTGTGCACAGATGCATCTTGGGGGAACCCTCTGGCCCTTCACACTGCACTGCTGAACTTCGCGTCTGACGGCTCCGTGCTGTCCGGCATCACCGACTTCAGGGCAGCATGGCAGAAGCGGTTCAGGGCTGACATGTTTGTCTTCTGCTCGATGTACAGCCTCAGCTTGTCCCTGAAGGTCTCCCCGAGAAAGCTGTAAATGAGGGGGTTCAGGCAGCTGTTAGAGAAGGCCGCGAGGTTGACAATGTGGCCGGTCAGGGGGTAGGCATGGCGGAAAGACTGCTTGCAGGAGGATGCCTCCGCCTGCGAGTGCTGCAGCAGGTGCACGCAGATGAAGACATTCTCCGGCAGCCAGCAGATGAAGAAGACGAGGACCACCGCAAAGATCATGCGTAGTGCCTTCTGCCTCCGGGGCCGTAGGCTACGGTGTCGGTGCGCGCCCACAAGCACCCGTGCGATGAGCGAGTAGCAGAGGCCGATGATGGCCAAGGGCACGAGGAAGCCTAGGGTGACCTCCAGCCACTGGACCTCCCGCATGTCGGCGAAGCAGAAACAGGCCTCCTCTGTGTGCTGCAGGTGCACGGCTGTGAAGGGAACCAGCGTGGCTGAGGCCGAGGCCAGCCAGATGAGGCCGCAGCTCAGCCGCGCATGCTGCTTGGTTCGGAAGAGGCTGGCGCGCATGGCCCGCGCCAGGGCGACATAGCGGTCGAAGCTCATCCAGGTGAGGAAGAAGATGCTGCTGTACATGTTAATCTGCAGAAACAGCGACATGAAGGTGCAGAGCACAGTGATGTCATAGTACTGCTCGTCCAGATTGAACACCTCAATAAGTGAGTCGGCCACCAGGATGAGGTCAGCGGCTGCCAGGTTGATGAAGTACAGGTCAGGGATGGTCATCTTCTCGCGGAAGCTGATGTTCACCACCAGGATCAGGATGTTGCCCACAAAGCCAATGGGGAAGAGGAAGATGGTGTAGAGGCAGGAGAGGAAGAGGCCGATGACGTACTGCTGGTGCTCCTGCAGGGCGCGTGAATGGTTTGCCAGGGCCACATCGTCCAGCAGGCGCTCCGCGCCCAGGTCCGTGAGGGTGCCGTTGGGGATGGTGGGCTGTGCTGTACCCAGGTACCCCTCCATGTCCGTGTCTCCGCCCCACGGGACTCTCAGGACTGGCCGGAAGGCTCACAGAAATCCGTCTTAAGCAACAAATCCATCTTTAGAAAGAAAGGTGGTTTTTTTGGAAGTGAGTCAGACATTTGTGAAATCAAGAAAAACTTGGCACAAGTAGTGTGTGTAGCTATCTGGGCTTGTTAATTGCAGAAAGTTGAAAAAAACTGGATGTGGTGGTTGATGTCCCAATGGAAAGACTTTAGTTGATAGCTGACTGTGGCGCCTTCAGTGCTCTTTGGTAGCCTGTTCCCGGTGACCTCTAGCCTCCTTGTCCAAAGCTGCCCCTCTGGGTTCCCTCGTTGTCTGGGGACCTGGGGGAACAAGCAGAAGGGGGTTAGGGCTGGGGATGCCTCTGGTGGGTCCGTGCAGGGCCATATGGATGATGGGAAAGCGGGGCTTTGGTGGCACTCTCTCAGAGACAATGATCACTGAATTGAAGTGGAAGGACCAAGTGTAGAAAAGGTGCCACTGTCTCCTTCTAGGGCCCCATTGTCTCTCAGGCTACATTGGAGCTGGTCAGCGAGCTGCTGGCCTCCTGTGTGGGATGCTTTTAAAAAAGCGAAATAGCAGACTTATGAGGTAACATGGGTGTGAAAATCTTAGAAAAGTACTGTTTGTCCAGAGAGGAAGTACAATGTAGCCCATCATCGTTGGAAAGAGAAAAAGATGGGGAGGAAAAACCAGCTTTCTGGAAGGTGGTGGATATGGAAAACTTTGTGGGAACTGGGGCAGAATCTCTTCTGCTGCAATAAAATCGCTGAAAGAAATTTAGCCCTTTGCTAATCCTAGTATTGAGTTTGGGTGCCAAAAACAAAACTGTCTTTCATGATCTAGAATGAAAAAGAGAGAGAATGAGGAATAAAAGTAGTAATTATTTTAAGAAATGATATTTAAAGTTTTATCCAGTGTTTTAACAACTGATTGTGAAGCCTGGTGTATTTTTTGCAATGCTTTTTGTAACCCAGAAGCTGGGTAGAGAAAGTTGGGATAGAGGAATCTTCCAGATTTTTGTTTGTTACAGAGGGGTACAGGAAGTGGCAGTTCATCCCCCCGTGGGCGGGGTTCATCAGCTCTGCTGGAAGCGGGTTTCTTGTCATTTGGTTTTGCCATGCTCCCCAGAGTTCTCTGTGGAGTCAGCCCGAGATTCTCAACCTGGGGCAACTGTGACCTCCCGGAGGACACTTGGCAATATCTGGAGACATTTCATGATGGCCAGGGCCAGGGTGACTGCTGACCAAACACCTCACAACACACAGCACACTCCCAACAAGACCGAGCGGCCCGGGGGCGGGAGTATATGAGTCTGTCACACTGGCATGAATCAGAATTGTCTCCTCTGCGGGTTTTCATTTTACCCTCTAAGACCATGAGGAGTCATTTGAAAGTGTTGCCAGACTAGACTGGAGATTTTTTTACCTATTGCTTGCAAATACTGCTTAAAGAGAAAAAAGGAAGAAAAAAAAAAAATTACTGCTTTGGTGTCAATTATGGTTGTAAAAATATCCAATAACCTTTGCTTAGCTGGAGCTGACAGATGTGATTTTTATTGTTATTTTGCACTCTTTATTCACCTTTGGTAGATAATGCTGATTGAACCAGTAAATGTCACCGTTCTCTAGGTCTCTTTGCAGCATCTGTGTTTAGCCTCTATATTTAATCTCTTTTAAAAAACTGCTCAGAGCATTTATTTTGTTCTTTAAATGTAAAAATTTTGGAAATGATTAGACTACAATTTTAGAGGAAAGTTTAAAAGGTGAGTAAAAGCCCTCAGCATATATTTGTTCTTTGTGCTTGTTAAATAAACTACGAGGGGAAACTGTTAACAAGCCCGTCCTTGTTACAAGTGGAGTCATTGAATCCTGGGACAAACTCCGTTATTCTGTAATGGTCTAACAGAAGGATATAGGAACCATGGATGAAATTTACTTCTGACAGAGGGTCCTTGTTAACGTTGGCCTTGAACTTACACATAGAAGGCTGAGCGTGGAATAGATTTCTTCAGCTTGTCCAGGTCAAGGAAACAAGCCCACACTCTTGTTGGATCTGTTGTATCGTAAAGGACTGTCGATGCCCCTGTTGCCCTACTGCTGGGCAGCATTTTCATTGAAAGCAATATGACATAGAGCCTGGAGACCTTATTTTCTACAGTGAGATGTATCCTTGCTTGAACAGAATATGACAGGCTACTGGATGGTATTATTTCGGCATGCGTTACAAGACATGTCTACACTCTCGGCCTCCCTTCTGGGGTCACACCGAAAATCTCAGAGCGTTCGGCTTCCTCAATGGGGAGTGGTCACCCCTGGCAGTCTTCACGGCTGTGCTGCTGCTCTTACCAGAGGGCACCATGTCCACTCATGGCAACAAAGGAGCAGCAATTAGCTTAAACTTATGGCAACTTACGCGGAGCCCCTGCTCTGCCAACCTGGACTGCCTCCCCCAGCCCCCATGGACATGACCCATAGGGGAGGGCGTGTCTTACCTGCTCGGCCCCCATTGCTGCTCCGTGCTGGCCGCTGGCAGCCCGTGTTCATGGTCCTGGGGCCTCAGCCGGCCTTGGGGGGCTTGCCCATGCCAGAATGCAGGTACATCTGCAGTTTCCCAGTGAGAGGGCTCTGGACTGCCAGGTGAACTCAGCCTGTAGGATGGTCGTGGAGCATCTTGGGAACAGCAGGAGGAGAAAGACCCCGACTACTGCAGGGAGCCTGATGTGACAGGCCACCCTCAGAGTGTGGTTCTGCTCTCGGGTCTGCAGCCTCCCTCCTTGCTGGGGTTTTATAGGCTCCCAGGCCCCTCCCGAGTCTTCTCCAGGGCTGGGCGCCTCCTCTCCTGGCCAGCATTAACCACTTTTTTGCTGGCCCTTTTCTGTCACACTTTGGTAACAAGTTAGCCCCGCTGAACATGCTTTTATGAGTTTCCAGTTTAACTGCTTTTCTTTACCTGCTGGTACAAAACTTTTTTAAGTTTAAAGGGATTGTACTAGATACTGTTTATCTTTTAGATAATAACGTATTCATTGAAACTTAAATATTCTTACTTGTTTTAGCAACTGACTGGTTTTAAAACTAAACACTACATTTCATAAATTTAGATAGTAGCATGTGAGTAATGCACAGAGAATTTAATTATGAATTTTACAAAGACACTTAAAACCTAAGAAGTAACAGACATTTTTGGCAAGTAAATTGGGTATCAAAGTAGTTTCTCTGCTGTAAACACTAACCTTCCCCTTCCTTTTGCTCAAGAAAACATCCGTGTGTTGGCGAAAGACTGAGGGGCCCGTGCCCTGCCCCGCCACCCTTCGCCCGCATAACGAGCTTCAGGCTCCCCCCAGGCAGGCAGAGTGAATGAGTGAATGGATCTCCAGGAAGTAGCCTCGAGCTGAGCCCAGCACATTCCCACGTACCCCACCTGCCAGTGGTTAGTGTCGCCAACCCCGGTGCAGAGAGGCTGGAAAGGCAACAAGGGGCAGACGGAGTCCCTGGCGGGGGTGAACTTGGGCCAGCATGGGGCCTAAGGGCCAGGCTGCTTGCATCTTGAGCCAAACAGTGCCACTTTCATAAGGACCTGCTGTCTTCGTTGCTCTCACTGGACTTCACCTGGGTCTCTTCTGCCGCTCTTTAGTTTTGGAAGCAGTAAAACTGAAATTTCATTGCCGCAGCCTTGAGGAGCCTGTGGGAGCCATTGTGTACTCCTCCCCAAAGATGGTCTTCATGGACTTGATCAGCTGGGGAGGGGCTTGATCAGCCCAGGGTGCGTGCCTCGAGTCACCTGACTGGTCGCTCATTCCAGGTCTTTTGTTTGTAACCAGCCTGCTGCAGACGAGTTTCAAGGTGTTCCGTGTGATAATAATTTAAAACCTTTTTAATACGTGTTTTGGAAAATACACATTTTTGCAACAGAGACTTCTGTGTTACATTTTTTTATGGAAAAATACTACCATTCAGGGTTCCTTCCAGCTTTAGATATTCTTCGATTCTGATATTGTAGCTTTTATATTTTATTTTTTAGTGACATGATAAAATAAATGAGGCTAGTTTTACTTTGGACGTATCTTTGGCCAGCTATGAACTCAAGATGATTTCAACATTGGCAATTCCCGAGACACTGCTTTGAAAGAAATGAGTCATGAGAAAACATGACTTTCTTGGATGAAATACATAAATGAAATTAAAAATCAAAACCTTGAGATCGCCAGGACATGTCGCCTAAAAGTAGCACCCACGACTTCCTCAGGGTAAGGCAGAGCCTTGGCCCCCAGCCCACCTGAGTGCACTCTGGGGGGCGTTAGCCATGAGGGCTCACAGGGCAGATGCGTTCTGATTTCATGCTTCTGGCTTACTCTTAGCGTCAGACAGCTGAACTGGGACCTCACGGTCTAGGATGCAGCTCCTTGTCAAAGCACTGGGGTTTAGGTAACTCGTCAACCATCGCAGGACTAGTTAGTGTCAGGGACAGGCCCAGACTTCAGGGGTTCCCATCCACTGCACCCTAGCTCATGTTTACTGGGGCAGGGGGAGGAATGTTGCGCTAGAAGTGTTTGTGAAGCTTAAAGAGCTTTTGTAAGTGCTAAATGAACATGTAATATAATGAGCGCTTACTCTTGTGCTGGACCCCTGTAAAGTGCTAAGAGCCCAGTGGGCGGGACTGCTGGCGTCTTATTCATCTTATTTGGGAAGAGGGTCGACTTAACTGAGGCCCCTGCTCCAGTTCATGCCCTGACTGCTCTCGGTTTGCTTCACTGCTGAATTTGATTTCTTTAAGAATTAAAAATAAATTAACTTCTATTTCTGCACATCCCCAAATAGGATAAGTGGAGGGAACATCAGAGGGAATCCAATCTGATCAGCTTTCACTTAGATTTGCAAATACTGGATAGTGCAGAGAAAGCAAAACTACTGAGAGAACAAGGCTGCCCAGGGAAGACGGTCCCTCACACACACCTGGGTCAGGAGCTGCAGACCCCAGCACAAATGGGGACGGCCCCTCACACGTATACCTCAGTCAGGACCTGCAGACCCCAGCCCAGGTGAGGTGGGCTCTCACACACACCTGGGTCAGGACCTGCAGACCTCAGCCCGGGCCTGGGGCTCCCCTGCCATCCTGCATTCTGCCAGCACCGCAGAGCTTCTCTCTTCTCCCTCCCTCCCTGCCTCACTCCCACCCAGCTCCCTTCTGAGGCATAGAACTGTCAA